ACGCCCAAGTCAGCGTCCCTGCACCACCCTGCTGTGGGGTACACGGTGAACATAATTGAAATTGATGGTCGAATTGTCGCTTGTCCGCTAGCATGCTAGGTGAAATTTCAATGCGAACATTTTCTGGAGACATGTCTTCAGTGGCTCACCGATACATGTATTCCTTTGATCGGCCGATCTTAATGGTTGCTGTATAATCGATGCTGGGTGCATAAAAAAGCATTTTGCTGTGTTTCGCATACTGTTTTAGAGTTTGAGACTTTGATGGCCTCGCTATTGTAGTTGCATAGAAAATGTCTCATTGATTCTGAGTCGTGGACGCATTCAGAACACCAATAAAGCAAGCTAACTGACTTGTATGTGGTTTGGGTTCGTTGCATGCCATACTCTTATAGTGCTCATCAACAAATATTTTTGATCCTGTACTTGCGATTTTTGCTAGATTTTATATCTTCGGTTTAGACTCAGAAATTATCCTTCAATAAAACATTGAGGCTGACTGCAGATTGGCTTACGAAACCTCGCTTCTTCTTTAGTTCTTTTACGTCATATTGGTTTAGTTTTTTTAGCCCTACCAACGAAACGGTTTTAGTATAATATATCGTCCTATTACCATCTTTTCATTCGCATTGTCGTTACGATTGTTTTTTCGGGAAATAGATAGTTTTTAAACAAAGTATTGACCAAAATTTCGGTAAAAAATATTATAGGTTGGTTATCGTCGCAGTCGATCATGATCAAAGTCATTTTCGATATTCGCGGTAAGAGGACTTTTTCGTTTGTACATTGCGCAAATACATGCTCCAATACTTGACAAAAAAGACTTTTGTGGCGATTGAAAATAATATGTTCCTTTTTCCCTACTAAAAACAGATGTTGCTGTTCGAAGCTCTCACATATCGGCTTACGTTAAGACGACTTCGACAGCTATTCAGGGGCACGTAAACCTGGACTTAAAAAGTTGATACGAAAGATACAGCTGAATAAGACCTACGCTATGTCCAGTCTCACTAGTCTTCTCGCGTTTGGCAGGGCGGCATGCAAGCCCGAGGGCAGAAGATGGGTGGTACTGATCAATGAAGTTGGTACGACGACTACTGCTCCGAGGATGAAGTTAGGAACACAGAAGGGTAAGCGAGATAGTGGAAGCTTAGAATGCGAGCAGTGCTGGTTGGATGGCTCGCCGTCAGTCGGTCGACTTAATCAAATTCAGTCGCATTAAAAAGAGAGCAATAATGTAGTGGATAAGTATCCACTGCGTTGAGTGGGTTGGATTTTGTTCATGGGCCTTTGAGTTTGGGTTTAGGATAATAGGTAGGTTTAATTACACACGTTACAGCTAGGGCTAGGTTTCGTTTTAGGGTTAGGTTTGGAGTTGGATTGACTTTTACCTTAAGAATTAGAATTAGATTTAAGGTTAGGATTAGGTCCCGAAGTAGGAATAGGAATAGCATTCGGAATCGGCTAAGGGCTACATTCAGGGTTAGACATTTTCAGCTTTCCGGCAGTTTACAGTTTGCCACAGCACACCGTTTTTGAATTGTTAAAAGTTTTGTTAACTGGTTTGGAGTGTTTAAACAAGCGTCTGCTTATTTACTGTTTTTCTCTGTTTGTCCCCCTAAATTTTTCTACTTGATGCCATTCCCTCTACCCTCATAAAACCCCTTATTATCACCAGTCCCCCAGTACAAGAGACCTCGCGTGTTGTTTTGTCATGTGACTACACGTATTAGATCCTTGCCATGAACTGCCTTAGCTTACGCGCTCGGACACCAAGAGTAACCGTGTGTTGTGACGTCATCGGCTACCGCTTTCTGTCTGTGCGTACATGCGCGAAAAGAGCGGGCTTGAAAATTAAGGTCAATGTATGAGTTGCATGCCGGGTGACGTGGATAGTTTGTGCAAGTGCTACTCATGTCCTGTGCCGACAGCAGTTACAACGCCCAGATGAAGGCCGCAAGTTTCGCTCAGCGCCGCGAAGATAAAGTAACAAACAAGTTCTATGCCGAAGCATTTAATACCCCTAAATGTGCTGCCAACACTGAGCAAAGCCAGCACTGTACGCGCGCTTGTGCATACAGAGAAGCGGCCTTGCGTTACTGGTTGGTGTTTAGGTAATCCACAATTTAGCGTTGCAATTAGAAACTGGAACAAAGGGAATCAGTTACGTACTCAAAGTTAAAATCTAGGGGTCGAGCATCGAAGAGTAAAAAAAGGAGTTGATGAAATGAGGGTGGCAGGTTAATCGATAAGAAATATAGAATTTTCTTATTTTTACTAAATGCATTCGACGGCTATTTGGACTGAAAAACTTCTTTGCGAATTTGGTATGACTATTTGCCGGAAGAGTCGAGCCACTTGAGAAGAAAGGCGTAATGTCCGCGCAGTGGTTGTACCCATAACACTACAATCGTCAGATCGAAACCCAGGTTATTGGTAAAAGACAAAAGTCACCAGAATGGAGGATTTATTGTGCACGTAACCGTGCATAGCTGCCTCAGGCGGCAGGGGCCACTGGGGAAGTCAGAGCTAGTGTTGACTGCGTGAGAGAGTGGTGACAGTTGCTTTTGCGTGATTGTGGAGCAAGTTAAAGTGATGTGCTATTGGTATGTGGCATTACCTGAGGGGGTGTCACCTGTGGAGGTCCCTGCTGCCTTGGCTGTGGGGCGGCAAGTTCAAGTGGCACCTTGGAAACCGCGACTACTTGTGCTCGCCTGCGTGCACACATGTATGTGCGAGTGGATGTTGGTCAAAGGTCTTCAGGTCAGCAAATCGGAGACAGTTGCCTGTGGCGATGCATGACTTTGGGACAGCGAGCCTTGAAGGGGGATTGAACGAGGAAGACGGACAGCATTGTTGGCTGTCCGCCACAGCGACAGGGGTCTGTTACTGTAGGGTCGCGTTCAGGGCGAATGTCAATCAGATAAAAGATAAACAGAAAAACAGTGTCGTTGCATATTTGTGATGTACTCGAAAGTTTTAGTATTTGTATGTTTGAAGGGGAACCTACTGTTGTCACGAGATCAGCCTGATTAAGAGTCACAACACATAATTTTAGTAGTGACTGAAACTTCGGTTAAAGTTTATCGGACCGAGGTGACGACTCGGGT